GAGGTGGGTTGTCATCCACCAGTTCCTTTCCAAGACCTGAAAAAATATATATATAGATATAGGGGTGAGCATATAGCTCAGCAGGTGACACTTAAGACACAATTCTTGTGTCCTAGTGAATCCAAATAAAGCATAGGCCAATGGGAGATTGGGGACATGCATTGAAGGGGAAAAATAATTACAAGTACAAGTCAAATTCAATCACACACAAATGTAAATGGAGTGAGATGCAATGCATGCTAAAGTCACTCCCCGTTTTCATTCTCAAAACCATCACGTTCAAAGTTAATGTAACCCCCTTTGGTAACCCCGCCGCGACGAGAGGAGGATTGGCTACCGTCCCTAGGCCCTTGGCGACCCCGTGGCGCCGTCGAGGGGCCCGAATAGCTCAACCACGCTAGGGTACTCTCCCTAGTCCTCCCTAGGCTACATTAACCTCCGGCCCGTTAGTAACCCCGCAGCGATCGGGTTTGTCAAAACCAATTTTTTTTTTCCAAAACATTCATTCCCAAATCCCCATTTTCATTTCAAGAAAACCACTTCTCTTTTTCATGCAACCCAATGAGATGTAGGCTCATGTCATGATCTCAATATAATGACAAATGGGAACTTAGCACAATAATAAATAAGCATGTTCTCATGGCATCATCATAGCATGTTAGTAACCTCAAAAAAAAAAAAAAAATGTAAACAACCATCACATAGACATACTTTTCATTCAACCATGTTATACACATTTACATAACTAGCATGTTGTCAATTAAATTATTTTAGTCAAAATCAATAACAATTAAACATGCTATAACACACATAGAGGAGCATGATTCATTATAGAGCAAGATTCCATGGCTTAAGATGTCCCTACCTCACAATCCAAGCCGAAATCCCTAGAATAGGTCCTCCAAATTCGAGCTCCAAGGAAGACTCAAATCTGGAAATTGATAGTATGGATGCGTAGAGCTCGCTACAAGCTTCGTTTCGCCTCAAACGGTTCCTAAATCTAATGAAAGATGATTGAGTAATCAAACCTCAAAATTTTTGTCTCCAAAATGAAAGAAAAAGAGAAGGAACCGAGAGGGAGAGAGAGCATACGGGAAAGAGAAAGAAAATGAGAAAGAAAAGAAGATTTCTTGGCCAAATAAGTTAGTGGTGGGCCCCACTTGAAATTATTTTCCTTTTCTCTTTATTTTTTTGTCTCTAATTACACCACAAATACACAATTGCACCATACAAATGCTACATCACCACATAAATTAAAATGTAGGAAATGTAACTGGACCCAACCACAAACCCGGATGGTAAAGTGAAAAGACGAAAATGCCCTTGCATTAACGAATTTTCAGAAAATTCTAAAATGCTGAAAATTAGAATTATCACAGTTCCGTGGCTTCATACAAAGTCACCTTCGTGTCTTAGGGATAACGTGCATCCCTAGAGACTTCGTTTTCTGTGTGAAAGGACCATTTTGCCCTTGGGGCCATACTTGGTCTATTTTAAACTTTTGCTTCGCTTTTGTACTCGTTGAGTTCCGTGACTTCATGGAAGGTCACTTTTGTGTCTTAGGGATGTTGTATATCCTTAGAGACCTTGTTTTTGTTTCGCTTCCACATTCAAGATTCGTTATCGGATCATCCTTCGTGTCATCACAGGGCGCACTAGGTTGAAAAATCTAGGGTCGTCACATGAGGTGCATGGTAATGGGAAGTGGTAGGTACGGTTTGTGCAGTTTTATTTTAAATAATAATGTGGCAAGTAGTGAGTATGGTATGTGCAAGCATGTTTCGTATGGTATTGTGATGGGTATTTAGGCATGGTTTATGCAAGTATTTTTTTTTTTTTTTTTTTTAAAAAAAAGAAAGAAAAGAATGATGATCATAGAAAGACGGGTTGTTTAAATTTTAAATGAAGGATCATGATTGTATCAAGGTGTGGGCTATGATTGTTATAATTATATGTGTATGTGTATATGCGGTTGAGCATGGAATGGTTACTAGTACAGTAGGGTACTTGTTGCGATATGATAGTTGTGTGAGTGTTGACCTAAGTAGGCGAGGAGCTCGGTTGCTCCAGGGTTGTTGGGTGTCGGTTCTTATCGAACGAATAACTTGGAATTTTAGCTCTTGGATTGAGCTATTCGGAGTGTGGTCATTCTGATCTTCTTATTGTATTTTAGTGCGATACTTAGACCACGATCTTAGAATTGGTTCATGTTGCATGACACGGTGTCCATGTTGTTTGTGTGTTCATGCATTGGTGTATGAGGTCTTGTGACCTTGGAGGTCAAGGTTGTGATGAGAGGTCTTGGTGAAGGACTTGTGTTTTTGAGATTTTAGAACATGTAATGTAGGTCACGGTTTAGTATAAAGGTTTTCCTCGAACTGGTTTGTGGTGGGTGTGATAGAGGTTGCTAGAGTCATGAATGTAGTCTATGGGTTGTACACGTATATTTCGAGTATTCTGGTACGGTGTAAGGAAGCGTGTTGGTTGTGGTTGTTAAGGGGACTTGTTGGACTACTTAAGTCTAGGGTGGTGTAGGCATTGACTGGATTCATGCCAGTGCCGGGTGACCGACTGTTAGATGTGGTTCATTTTGTGGTATTGAAATAGTCTATTTTAGAGACTGGTTTATTGAGGAGTGATTCCCATTTTGGATAGCTATAGGAGTGTGTCGTTGGGAATTGACCCTCCATGAGTCAGTCATGTGGCATGGGCGTCGAGTGAGTCTCGAGTTGGGGATAGTGGTCAGCTTTAGTTGTGTAGTGCAGGGTTGCATGATAAGGCAGGTTGTATGGGATCATTGAGATGCTTGGTCATTTGCGAATGAAGTGATAGATGATGGGTACTGTGTTATCAAATGGATTGTGTTTCAGAATTTGAAATTTATGGACTGGGATTGTATTTCAAATTGCGTCTAGAGTATCAGGAGGTAGTACTTGTTGTCTAAAAATAAATTTTATTACAATTTGCTTCTGGAGTATCAGGAGGTAGTACTTCCTAAAGTTTATTACAATTTGCTTCATGATACCCTGTGCTTTGATACTCTTTTTTTGATATGTCACAGCGAAGTGGTAGGATTCATTTGTCTGTTAATGAGAAACAATCATGGCTTTGAGTGACTTAGCGAAGTGCTAGGGTTTGTTTTGCTCGTTGGTGAGAACCAATCGAGACTTTGAGTGACCTAGCGAAATGCTTGGGCTTGTTCGCTCGTTGGTGAGAACCAATCGAGGCTTTGAGTGCCCTAGCGAAGTGCTATGGTTTGTTTGCTCATTGTGGGAACCAATTGAGGCTTTGAGTGACCTAGCAAAGTGCTAGGTTTGTTTGCTCATTGGTTGGAACCAATCGAGGCTTTAAGTGACCTAGCGAAGCACTAGGGTTTGGTTGCTCATTGGTGGGAACCAATCGAGGCTTTGAGTGACCTAGCGAAACGCTAGGGTTTGTTTACTTGTTGGCGGGAAGCAATCGAGGCTTTGAATGACTTAACGAAGTGCTAGGGCTTGCTTGCTTGCTCGTCGGTGAGAATCATTTAAGATTTTGAATGTTTTAAAATAATGTTAGAGAGTAGTGGGGCAACTGTTTATCCTGATTAGTTCGTTTGACACGTGGCTTAGTATGTGAGCCACTCCTACAAATTTAAAATCCAAAATAAACCTCAAATAATTTAAACTAAAGAACATACCATACTATTTGGACACTAATAGCTAAAATCTTCCTTCTTCCTCTTTTACAAGTACATCATTAAGGCTATGTTTGGTATAATGGAAAAGAAAAGAAAGGAAAGAAATGAGAGGAGAGTGTAAGTTACTTATCATATTTGGTTGACTAATGAAAGAAATGACAGTAATCATGTTTGAGAAAAGAAAGGAAAATAAATTATTTTAATGAATTTACCATTATAACGGTAAAACCTTTTTCCAAGATTATTGTCTTTTATAAAATTAAGGATAAATCTAGCATTAAAAAAATTTCATTAAAAATGCTCCCATTTCTATTCATTCCCTCCCATTTTTTGGAGGGATAAGAAAATAACTATTCAACCTTTAAAGTATCTCTCAAATCCTTTCCTTTCCTCTCTTTTCTTTCCAAAAGTTTATATCAAGCACAAAACTCAATATCCTTTAATTTCCTTTCTTTTTGGTTTTTTTTCTTCCATTTCTTCCAACCAAACTGGTCCAAAAGTGTGCTTCGGTGGGGGCAGGGAAAAAAGCCCATGATTATATATATGTATATATAATATATATACCTTTATGATTGAAACCATGAATATACCATTTTCAATTTGGCCTTCTCTTCACAACCTATCTTTAGGAAAGGGCCCCGATTTATGCATGAAATTTTGCTTCAATAAATTAATTCCTTTGATGCCCTAGAACGACCACTTCTCCTTATTTTGCTTATAATTTGGCGTATTAATTCTTATAGAATTAAGATTTTATTTCAGAATGGGGGTGGCGATAAAATTAGGGTTGGGAATACCCGATATGTTAGGAATTACGTGTATATATATTCAATTGATTGATACACACACACACACACACACACACACACACACACACACACACATGAGTACACTGTACATACACACACACATGAGTACACTGTACATACATGTTCGTTGTTCTCGACGCATTCAAACTCATTCCCTCCATATTTCTTTTCTAAGTAGAATGATTTTATCCATTTCACTGTATTGCTGTTAATAAATTCCCCATTATTATTCTCTCCACCAACAATAGAATATCTATTTTATCCTCTTCACTGTTAATTCACTATTTATGGATTTCACAAGATCAATTGAGCGACATTGGCTCTGAGTTATTTTTTTTAGCAAGAAAACCATTCTTATCTTTGACGATGGAGAATGTCTGATTTTATCCTAAATTTGGTGCATTCTCTGATTGATTCATCATTTCATCTCTATAAATAAATATATTTTTTTCGGGTAAATTCTATAAATATAATTTGGAGTCACCAATCACCATATATATATGGTGATTGAAAATAATTAGGGCATTCAATCAATGCTGTCATTGTGATAACAATGAAGTCTTTGATGATGCATTTGTTTGTAGGATTTGTGTTCTCTCTGCTATGTGGGTGTGTAAATTCGTCGAAGCAATGTACTAACATACCTGCAAAGATAGATTCGAAGACTGTTCAGGCTGATATAGATGATCCTAAAACAAATGCAACATGGAAGGCGGACTTGTTAAAGCAATACAGTATGTACACGACGAAGGCCATAGAATCGTATACAGCAGTGTCCACAGATAGTTTGGAGGACAGAAGGAAATTGGTGGAGAATAATTGGGCTACACTGAGCAAGAAACTGAATAATTCCGCTGGGTATAAACCGCCTGTGACCCTCAAGGAGGTGTCTCTTCACGATGTGAGAATTACTGACCCGTCATCATATCATTGGCAGGCTCAGCAGCTAAACTTGGAATACATTTTGATGTTAGAACCCGATAGATTAGTTTGGAGCTTTAGGCAGACGGCTGGTTTGCCCACACCGGGCAAGCCATATGGAGGTTGGGAGAATCCGAAAAAGCAGCTCAGGGGCCATTTTGTAGGGCATTACCTGAGTGCCACAGCCTTGATGTGGGCAAGCACTCATAATAATACTGTCAAAGAGAAAATGACTGCAGTAGTTTCGGCTCTCGCTGCCTGTCAGGACAAAATTGGTTCAGGGTATCTCTCTGCTTTCCCAGATGAGTTTTTTAAACGATATGAACATAAAATATATGTGTGGGCACCATACTACACAATGCACAAGGTAAAAATTGTTTTTAACATTGTACTGTAAATTAGTATAGCTGTTAATCCATTTCTGCTATACTAGTCTTATCTTAGTCTGCTTTTCATAGATATTGGCAGGCCTGTTTGATCAATACAGATTCGCGGGTAATGAACAAGCTCTAAAAATGATGGTTCGCACGGTGGAATACTTTTACAAGCGTGTGCAAAAGGTGATATCAGAGTTCAATGTAGAACTCCACTATCATTTACTAAATACAGAAGTTGGTGGCATGAGTGATGTGCTTTATCAGTTATACAGCATAACGGTGTGTAACCCTCATCCACAGACAGCATTATAACACTATGACATTCATGAATTAACCTTTTGGTATTATATTTACAATTTTCACAAATAATTTTTTGAACTTCTGTTCTGATATTAGCGGCTTATTTGTTACCATGTGCAGCGTGATCAAAAGCATTTATTGTTGGCTCATCTTTTTGACAAACCTTGTTTCCTAGGAATCCTTGCATTACAGGTACCTTATCACTTTCTTTTCTATATACTACTCTTTAAGTTTTCTGGTGGTTTTGAGTTTTTATTTATTTCATCAGTAAATACCGTATCAAAGAGTATAGTTTTCATCTTGAAGAACAATGCATCTTAGTTGCCACCGTGAATAATTGCTTGTGTAGCATAACTAGTTAGCTTCAGTTCACATAGTTCTGTTTACACTATAATTCAGTCAATCTTAAGGGGGACAGATCCTAATTTCGAAACATATGATGCATAATTTCTTGTAAATGAAATGGGTCGCACTGGTAATACAGAAAGTTTAATACTGTGTGGGAAGTCAATTCTCACATATTGGAATCATTTTAGCAGAATAATTCATTACCAGTAATTTGAAGATACAACTTGAATTAGTTCTTTTTCTAGAGTAATTAAAACCTAAATCTGAGTTGAACTCGATATGGACATATTCGTTCCTATTTATTTTTGCTTATTTTAATGTTAAATCTTCTGAACTTTCATTAATTTTTTAAAATTAATTATACTTCTTCATTAACTAATACTAATGTTTCAGTAGACTTCTAATTAGTGAATTATCTTAGAGTCAGAAGTATGACTCATATAATTTCAGTTCAGCTCACATCACTTTGGAAACATAATTTGCCAATGTTTGAATGATTCTTTTTAATGCATTAGTGGAAGTCAATGTGTTCACTTAAATTGTTTTCCTTGTGTATTTTACTTGCTGTAAGCCTGTTTGCAATTTTAAAATCAAATAATTGTTACAAAAGCATGACATTTAAATACATTTTGTGTGTGTGTGTGTGTGTGTGTTTGTGTGTGCTTGCATGACCAAATGGTTAAATGTGTTTTCCAATTCCCGAAATAATAATTAAGAGACAAAAACAAAGAAATAAAAGAGTAAGAAAGGAAATCAGAAATGATAAACTGAAAACAAAAGAGGGTTTTGATATATAAATTAAAACAGCCTTAATTTGGAGGATTTAAGAATTGTTTAGATTTTGAAAATTCTTGAATATATATATTTTTTCCTGAATGGGTTTAGTTTTATTGATACAAAAGTAAACAATAAAGTACAATATGAGAAAAGTGATCAGAAGACTGATCTTCCAAAAAACCAGAAAACATGACAAAAAGATACCTGCTCAGGGCATACCCCAATGCAGTACATAAAGAAGAGAAAAACCCTAGGACAGAATCTAAAACAAAGTCAACACCACCAGCAAATATCAAAAAATAATGTCTAGATCAGAATTGGACAATCCCACTGCTGCTAGACCTTTAAAACATGCTTCCATAGCCAGCTGATGAGGAGAATGGATCCAACCACCATGCACTCTTCTGTTCCTTTCATTCCATATACACCACAAGAAGTACAAAGACATCCATAATCCGCATTTCACTGAATTCCCTTTTGAGTTGTTTATAAACCATACCACAGCCTCAGAGAAATGCTGCAACTGCATTACTTCTTCGCAATGACAAATCTGGGAAATCCACTGCCACACCTGTCTGGAGTAAAAGCAACACCAGAAAACATGGTCTCTGTGGTTTTCATTATCAAAACACCAATGACATATGGCCGGGCCAACAAAGCCTCTCTTTCTGAGATTATAATATGATGGAAATGGATCGTGAAGGATCATAGCAGATTGTATTGTCACTCTAGGCCTGCAATTGTTCCAGATTTACACCATGGCATCTGATCACTCTTTTCTCTGCACACATTCCACGTGGCTTTAAATTACAGCTTCACATGCTTCCATTCAATTTTATCTTCAGTCACACAAACCAGCTGATTGAAGAACTGTGCAATTTCAGTAGGCCAGCCCTCTGGGATATGCCATTCAGTCTCAGTCTTCAACACTGAAAGATTGTCTGAATGATAAATATCTGCTGGTAATAAGCTTCTAAGGCCAAACCTCTGTTGAAGAGTTTGACCATTAAACTATGGATCATAAAGCGAGTACTTCCCATGGAGAATTTTAAATGTTGCACCAGAAAGTCTCTATTATTCAAAATAGACTTCCATAAAACTGAATCAACAGCCCTAGCATTCACAGCCCAGAAATAAGCATTTCTCAAATATTTGTCTCTAAACCATTTTATCCACAGCTCCTCTTTAGAGGCAAGAAAATACCAGGTTAGAAGATATGAGCTAGTAAGATTGATACAACTAAAACTTCTCAGGCCAAATCCACCCTGTGATCTAGGTAAAGTACATCTGTCCCAAGCAAGAAGAGGTATTTGTCTTTTCTCATGGTTTCCAATCCAGAGAAAATTCCTCTCTTTTTTTTCAATAACATTTTGCACCCCAATAGGGACTGAAAATACCAATGCCCAGAAATTATAATATGATGATATAACTGATTTGATAAGCTCAACTCTGCATGCTATAATTAAATTGAAAGAATTCTTAGCTGAAAACTTTGCATTTATTTTGTCTAAAAGGACAGCACAGTGAGATCTTTTAATTCTCCCATCTACCAGAGGAAGCCCAAGATAGGTCACAGTTAACAACCCCTCCTTAAATCCCAGAATTCGAAGAATACTATTCTTTCTCCTCACAGTTCTAGAGAAAAAATAAGAACTCTTTTCATTACTCACCTTCAATCCAGACATGTCCCCAAACTCCTTCAGTAATGCCACGAGATTTCTAGCATTCCTCATGAAGGCTTTAAGGATGAGAAACAAGTCATCAGCAAAAAAACAATGCGAAATTCTTGAACCAAATTTCTTAACTGTCTCACAGAGTTCAAGCCTTCCATCTGACACAGCCTTGTTTATCATTTGAGTGAAAAAGTCAGTAACTAAACAAAATAATAGAGGAGAGAGTGGACATCCTTGTCTAAGGCCTCTCCTAGCAAAGAACAATTCAACAGGCACTACATTCACTAGAACTGAATAATGTACTGATGAAACACAGTTCATGATCCAAGTTCAAATTCTTGAATATATTTAATTACACTGAGAAAGCCGATCTATGTATTCCTTGCCGGGCTTCTAGGTTTTTGGTTTAAGCAATGAAAGATAATGAAATGCGAGCTGGGAGTGATTCAATTTAACGATTTACCATTGGGAAACTATTCTTCAACATGAACCTGTTCATATTTTTCTTACTAAAAAAATCGAACCAATTCATTGATCTTTTACTTCTCTCCTTGATGCAGGAAGCTCTGATACCAATTGGAATCAGTGCTTTCCATGTCAACTGGTATCTGATCTTCCAATTCCATTCCTAATCTACCATCATATATATTCAAGATTTATTGCCTATTTTTATTTATTTTTTATTTAAATAAACCACAGCATCCATATTATTCTTATTTCTCAAATAACATGGCTAAATTTCTGTCTTTTATTTGTAGGCTGATAATATATCTGGTTATCATGCTAATACACATATAGCACATGTTATTATTCTTGTTTTTCAAATAATATTGCTAAATTTATGTCTTTCATTTGTAGGCTGATAGTTTAGCTGATTTTCATAGCAATACACATATTCCACATGTTATTGGAGCTCAAATGCGGTATGAAGTTACTGGTGATCCACTTTACAGGGTAAATGACTGTAATTCATTTCAATACCTGTCCTCAGAGCATATTAACTCAACAAAGCATTTTTCTTGTTTTCAGTTTTTAGTGTTGAGTATTATTACAATTTTTTTTCTTTTCTTTTGATATTGAGAATTGGAAATTTCTGATCCAATTATAATCAATCAGAATTTAATTAGTATATAAAATTTTTATATTATAGTATTTATGCACAACATATATGCATTATGTAGTGCATAAAAGATATATAAATATATTTCATTTTATGAAGAATTCAATATGACCGATTATTTGATTTGATTTGTACTTAATTGTATTTACCCAATTGGAGGACGAGCCTTTGAGCAACAGTGAGGTTGCTCCATTGTGACTTGAGGGTCACAAATCCGAAACAAGAAAACAGCTTCTCCGTATGCAGAGAGTTAAGGTTGCAAACATCTGACTCTCCCTAGGCCCCGCAATTGTGGGAATCTCGTGCACTGGGTTTAGTTTGCCCTTTAATCTATAATATCAAATTAGCGTAAAACCAATAACCCAAGGGTTCAGGTTTAAACTTGTTGCACCACAGATTTAAATTGCCTTCAAAAATTGCCTCACTTCGGCCTTTCAATAGACACAAATTTCTTCTCTGATTTCATAATCTGTTCGCTTTGGTTTGTGGAGTAGAAAACTGTAGTTCCTAAATATTCCTCCATTTCTTATTGAGATGCATTACAGAGTGAGCAACAATGAAAACTAATTCTCTGGTTTGTGGAGTAGAAAACTGTCGTTCCTAAATATTCCTCCATTTCCAATTGAGATGCATTCCAGAGGGAGCAACCATCGAAATTAATTTTAATTCTGCCCCTTTAGGTAGCACTACGGTTTTCTTGCTGAAGAATGGCTATTCTCATCATATATTTGGATCATTGTTTTATTATTTTATATGGCAGGAAATGGCAACATACTTCATGGAGGCTCTCAACTCTTCTCATGCCTATGCAACTGGAGGGACATCAGCTGGCGAGTTCTGGTACAAACAATTTGAATGAATAGTGTTTAATGATAACAACTATATAGATTCTGGTTTGTTCTAATCTCCTCAACCGATGAGCAGGACAGACCCAAAGCGATTGGGAACCACTCTGAGCACTGAAAATGGAGAATCATGTGCGACTCATAACATGCTAAAGGTCTGCTGGTTATTTTTTAAAAAAATTTTGAGGGAGAAGATTTGTCTTTGTCTTTCCGTTTCTTTGGGTGAAAGATTCATTTTATAACTCACACTCGACTCAACTAAAAGAAAACTAGGGGGTTGAGGTGTACACTTTTTAGATGAGTAAGCAGGGATACTGGGGAATTTGTAGGAAAGAGTGAGTGAGGTTTCATTGAACTCTGAAGTATAAAAAAGTTTTCTGTCAGACATCACTTTTCACTCTATAATTTCTATTAATTTAGTTTAAAATCTCAGTGCTATTTTTTACCGGCATCAAATGGCATATGATTTTGTAGGTCGCACGCAACCTGTTTAGATGGACCAAAGAAATGACATACGCAGATTATTATGAGCGAGCCCTGACCAATGGTGTGCTGGGCATCCAGAGGAGAGGGAATCCCGGAAAGATGATCTACATGCTACCACTAGGCCGTGGAGTTTCTAAGGCCCGAAGCTACCATGGATGGGGAAAAGAGTTTGATGATTTTTGGTGCTGCTACGGGACAGGTCCGGGCTTGAAACCTCATAAATATAAACCATTTTTATATTCTAAAATCAAATATTTTTTGCTTTTCAGTAAGCGAATTAAAATTCCCCAAACAATCTTTTTAATTGCATCATACAACCTTAGATTCTTCAGATCTTATGGCATTTTTATTCCCTTATGAATTGGAGAATTTGGTTGTTTGCTTGTGGTTTTTATTGTCACAATTTAGTTAATATGCGGCTCAACATGTTGTATCTGCAAGTAGTTTTCTTTTTTATTTGTTCTTCTGGTTCTGATTAGATGATTTCGGATAGCATTTCTTTCTTTTTTTGTTGATGATGAATTCTGACTAGTGGGTCTATGTTTTTCTTTCTTCTCATGCTCCACCCAGTTGATGCTGACCCTTTTTTTTTTTTTGCTTGCCAAGGAATTGAGTCATTCTCAAAGTTAGGAGATTCGATATACTTTGAAGAAGAGGGGAAAGCTCCGGGGCTTTACATCATCCAGTACATACCGAGCTCACTTGATTGGAAATCTGGGAAGATTTCTATAAATCAAACAGTCAAACCTGTTGTTTCATGGGATTCTCGTCTTCAAGTGACATTCACAATTTCCTCAAAGGAGGTACGTGTTAGCAGATAGAGAAGCTAAACTACACTAGATTATTTTCATTACAGAGTTCTTAGTTATATCATTCCATCTGAAAATAGGAAAAACTACCTCTAGGAAACTGGAATATCTTTGTTTTTATAGAACATAAGTTTTACTTTGTTGATGCTACTTGAATAATTTTCCAGAGTAAAGGAATGATGTATCTCATTTCATTAACTCTTTCTAGGTTACAGTTTCCCTACCTTTTGATCATCTTACAGGGAAAAAAATGTAATCTAAAGACAATGGGTTTTTTTTGGAACATTACCCAGTGGCCTAGTTGGTAGAGTGCCCAGCTCCCCAAACGGGTTTGCCTGTGTTCAAGTCTCCCCTCCCCCTAGTTTGCCAAGGAAAAAAAAAAAAGAGACAATGCTTTTTAATTAATCCACCTTTAAAGATATGAACGTATGGTTTCTCCATCTCTCTTTCTCACTCATGCATGTGCTCATTTTAAATTATCCAAAAATAGATGCAAACTGTCAGTTTGTATTATAGTATAGCAAAGTATTGTATGAAAAAGTATGAAATATAAACCATCTGCTCTCTCGTGGCTAAAAATAAGAGTAAAGGTAAGCAGGATATGAGTAGCTGACAACATCGAAAAGATATGAATTATTTTTGAAGAAATAAATAGGAATTCCATGTTTGAGGTAGTTTACCTTCCAAAAAAGGAATAATATGTGTACTAATTAGCAAGGTTAATATATAACCCAAATTGTTGATGTGGTCCTGAGGAGAAGAAGCCGGAAGAAAAAAAAATCCATTAATATTTAAAGATTTATGAGTGATCTACTTAGATGCCAATGAGGAAATAAAAAGTAGGTATGGTAAATAAGATAATTTTTGGCGGGTAGATAATGGAATCTTAAATTCTTTCTAACCCAAGTGATCATAAGGTTCAAGTTTCTTCTCCATGTCTTCTGCAACCAAACAGCATTGTGTCTAAGACCTATTGAATTACTTTTACTCATTTTTGTTCAAGTGCTTGTACTTTCAGGTTACAAATTCTTTTCTCATGCTTAATCTATGGATGCAGAAAGGGGCAAGCCCATCATCTACTTTAAATTTACGAATTCCAAGTTGGGCACCGGCAAGTGGTGTTAAGGCAACTTTAAATGGTCAGGGTTTGCCTCAACCAGGTTCGAACTTACATCTCCCTCCCTTCTGTTGCGTTACTGTATTTTTCTTTCAAATATTTTGATGTTTTTCATGCCAGTCGGTATTTCATTGTACCATTTTTTTTTTTTTTGGAAGCGGAATGTACAAGTTCATTATTCTCTCCATCCTGATGATGCAGGTAAATTTCTAACAGTCACTAGACAATGGAACTCTGGTGACACAATCACTCTTGAACTGCCCCTCAATCTTAGAACCGACGCCCTTCAAGGTATTTTCTTGGGATGCTCTCATAACAAATTTAATACATTAAGATGTTCAATGTATGTCAACGCAAAGTAAGATAGTTTTTGTTAGGATTAAACTAACAGAAGTTTTTATCCGATCCTTCAGATGATCGGCCTCAATATGCCACCGTTAAGGCAATTCTTTATGGCCCCTACCTTTTAGCTGGTATGACAACCAAAGACTGGGACCTTAAAACAGGAAATGCCAAGTCACTCTCAGATTGGATCACTCCAATTCCGGCTACATATCATTCTAATTTGATTTCCCTCTCCCAAGGTTCTGGGAATTCAGCATTTGCCCTAGCAAACATAAACAACACAATTTCAACGACGAAGCTTCCTATGCAGGGCACTAATGCATCAGTATGGGCCACTTTTAGACTCATCTTAAAGGACTCAGCTGCTTCCCCGAAACAGTTTGCACCAAAAGATGCTATTGGGAAATTGGTGATGCTAGAGCCATTTGATTTTCCGGGTAGTGTTGTGGTGCACCAAGGAGCTAATGGAAACCTTATAGTTGCAGCTCCCGGCGCTCAGAATTCTGTTTTCCAATTGGTTCCAGGATTGAATGGAAAGCCCGGAGCAGTTTCATTAGAGTCCGGTGGCCAGAAGGGTTGCTTTGTGTGTAGTGGGGTTACTGGGGCAGTATCTACCACCAAGCTCCGCTGCCAATCTGCTGGGGCACCACCTGATGCTAAATTTAAGGAGGAAGCCAGCTTTGTGTTGAATAATGGAATAAGTTCATATCATCCTATCAGTTTTGTGGCAAAAGGGGCGAACAGGAATTTTCTTCTTACTCCATTGTATAACTTCATGGATGAAAATTATACAGTATACTTCAACATCACAGCTTAAAAACTTTAATAAGATTTTTCTGTCATGCCGCTTCTGTTAGGTGGTATTGGCAATTTCGCTTTATAATGCCTATTTAATTTATGATGTACATTGGCTTGTTAGTTGTCAAGTATGCTGTTTTATTTATTTATTTATATTTTTTATAATAAATTATTTTTTCGTTTTAAAGCTTCAAACCTCCTTGGACTACATGCCCGAATCGATTTTTTGACGGCTTACATAAGCGGTTTCTAACCAAAACTCTTGCACAATGTTTAGTAAACTAGATAGATCTTGGTCTTAAAGCTAGTCTCTCTTTCTGATGCAATATTGTTTACTTTGTAGTATTGGTTGCTAATTAATATCACCAGCTTTGTGTCAATCGTTCCTAACAAGTTTCCTATATGAAATTATATTTTGTGTGTGTATTTGTAAAGTGTATTTTATGTGTATATACATTTCCACCTTCTTCAAATAGAAAATTAAAATTTCAAATGATGAGAGATCTAGGCTCACACTTTTGATTGTAATATGTGGGCGAAACATGTGTGAGTTAGTGTTACGACCCAAACCCGGGTGTCCGGATCGCTAATGGGGTCCTGACCCGACCTGGGGATACACAAGGGCAAAATGGTCATTTCAAGTGAAAATATGGGGTGGGAGCGATACCATTGGAAAGATGGTTCAAAATGCATTAGAATGGCTCAATTTGGATTAGAAATGACAAAGTTATGACTATTTGAAGTCTGGCCAATCCAGGCGATTCAACAACGTCTAAAAAAATTTCTAAGTCTGGAAATCCGATTGATTGGATTTGAAGTCTGATCGACCGAAACGAGAGTACGTTTTGCAGAAAATTTCCGAAAATGCCAAAGTATGGAATCCGATCGATCGGATTCCATACTTTGGCATTTTCGGAAATTTTCTGCAAAACGTACTCTATCGGATTCCATACTTTGTCATTTTTGGAAATTTTCTGCAAAACGTACTCTCGTTTCGATCGATCGGACTTCAAATCCGATCGATCAGATTTCTATTAAAGTCTGATTGATCGGACAGAGAGTAAGATCTACAGGTTTTGTGTTTCTAGGCCTGGAATATGTCCGGGCTCATTTGTGAGCCTAGAACTGTGGTGAACCTGTTCTAACTCACGACAAATATGCTATAGTCATCCCATAACCTTAAACATCAATGTAATCATTAAAAGAGTTCATTTCCGTACAATGTCCATATGATCCATTGACAAAATAGTTCATTAAACAAAAACTTCCGAAAAGGAGTAAGGTTACAAAATAAGACCTCCTTTGCCACAAATACAAGGTTTTACAAAAGTGTAAAGTGTAACTAAACATTGGTTACAAAATACTACAAAAGATGCTCTTATCAACTCTGACTATCCTTGGGAAGGTCCGTTATCAACTACCTCCTTGCCATAACCTGAAAAATGTTAAAGGAAGGGGTGAACATGAAGGCTCAGTAGAAGATGCCTAAGGCACCAACTTTGGACTCCCTTAAGCCACACATCACACACATGGGATAAATAGGAACCGGGATCATACTTGGGGTTTTTATAACATTTAATCCACAAATCAATAAACATAATAGCATGTCAATACAAATATACGTAAAATGCAATGCAATACCCCATATTCTCCCAACCTTGGTCTCAACTGACCCCAACTTGGCCTACACCAGCCCTAGACTTGGTCTCTACTGAACCTAAACTCACATTTGAAAACCGCTAACCGACTTTACCGAGGTGAGATTGATAACTATCCCTAATTCCAAATTCGGCAACCATTTGGGGCTTAGTATCAAAATTTTCACGTCCAAAATTGGCACGCGCTCCCTCTAAGTCGAATTAGCACCTGACTCGCGAAATTTGGTTCCTTTTCATAAAATTAGTTCAAAACCCTTTTCCTTAGGCAAATGTCCCGAACCATGCTATGCATGCAACCATGGCATGAATGTAACAATTTATAAAATTTACTCCATTCATGGCATCCCCATTAATATGATCATAAGCATAGCATTTCCATTTAAATCAAGCACAACATGACATCTTATTATAACTACTTACAAGCATACTCATCATTAAATCTCATAACATAACAAACTATGCTAGAATTCACACATTAAGTATTTTGCACCAAAATCATGTCATACTTAGCATGATATCAATCACATATTTATTCAAATGCTAGCATGCTTTCCACACTTTACACATAGTCACGTCACAATCTTTGTATGACATGAATTTCTCAATTCAACATTTACAACTAGCATTCTTTCTTCACATATAAGCATGCTTGGCATAGAAATCAAAAGTAATACTCAACAGAAGGTAAAATAAAATGCATTAAACATCCCTACCTCATGTGTGCTAGCCAAACATGCCCTTAGCTAAGCCAAACAAGCCCTAAGGGTCCTTAAGGCGTTTGGTTAGTTAGAACTAGTAAGAAAGGAAAAGTATCAGAAAATATTTAAACTTTTTGTGCATTTGTTTAGGATGAAATGGAAAGTTTTTAAGAAACTGGGATTCCGTAAGTACCTAATTTTCTTTAAAACGATTCCTGTATAAAACACGCGAAAAATTTTGTTTCTCGGAAAATTTTGTGAAGTTATATTTTAAATTCCTATTATACCGATAATTATCAGTTGGGTTTCTTTTATCTCTTTCTCCCTTTTTGAGGGACATTTTTTTTTTCCAAACGTAAATGAACTCATGAAATTGGGGAGATCTTATTTTTAGCATTTTTTTTAATCTATTTTTATCGCTTTATTCTTTTTCCCCTTCCAAATATGTATATACATATAACATATTATGGTGGGTATTTTTTAAGTGCATTATATTAATTTACAATATGTATATATACATATCAACTAGGTTTTAGAATTTGGATACTATCGTTATTATAAGTTTTAGGGAATATATACGTTCCTTATAAAGAATAATACAAAATATTCTATAGTTATTTAATTCTAGTTGAATTCAAAAAGAAAACCCTCATAAACTTGGTTGTTATATGTAAAATTATATTGGTTTTGGTTATTCTAATATAAACAAACATCTAGTGAAACAATCCTAATCTTATTCGAGTTCATCAAAGTCCTTACAATTAGTATATAAATTGTAATGTCCAAATCATATATATATATATATATATATATATATATATATATTTTGACTAAAGAAATTCAGGTAACTTGGTGTCTCATGCAAGTTCAGAATATTATTATCAACAACAAAATTTGATGCGTGAATTAATTTTACTCATATTTATTTATATTTTTTGTATTTAAAATTATAAGGGCAATTTTGACAAGTACAATCATTTTCTTTTCTCTTTCCTTCTATCCCAACTAACGACATAATATTTTCTCACAATTTTCTTAAAAAAATTTCATGCTAACCAAATGCACCATGGAAACTTAATTTTCTTTTCCTTCACTTCACTTTCTTTCACTTTCACTTTCCACCGTCTATTTCCGTCTAACCAAACGAACCCTAAGGCTATCCCCAAATTCGAAATCCTCCAAGTCCTTTTACCATTGGTCTTAAATGAAAGCTCTCACCAAGAAGAACAAAACTCTCTTCTTGCTCTTTATCAAAATCTCACTCAAAACCTTTCAAAAATAAGCTTAAACTATTGAAGCACAAATGGTGTATATAAATATAGAGAGAGAAGTAGAAGAAGACTAGAGAGAGAAACGGAATTTTCGGAAATGAAGAAGAAAATGAGGAGGGTTTGGTCTTCAATTTGGGTGAAAGGCTCTTATTGAGCCGAGTGTCACTCATCCATGGATTACTAATTTATACCCAAGTTACCATATTGCCCTCATTCATCCATCACAATGCCAATCTTGTCCCACAAAATATCTTCTCTAATGTATACTTACATATATATGTATATGTGTGTGACATTCCAATTACGGCCCTCACTTAAAATGAGAAAATTGGGAAAAGTTCCCGACTTTGGAAGTCATCCTAACTCCCGAAAACTTCTAAAATCAATCCCGTCGCCTCTAATTGATCTAAAATAATCAAAATGCACTTCTAAAACTCTCAGCTCATGAAAATGACCAAAATAACCCTCAAGACCCACGTGGCATGCAAAATGAGGCACAAAAAATAAATAAAACAAAAATTTGAAAAAAATTTAGAAAATTTTGGGACATCACAGTTAGGGTGTCAGTGTATTTCTTGTCAATGTATAAAATAAAATTATATATATATACACACACCAAAAGATGAAAATTAAGTATGTATCTATTGGATCGATCGTCTATACATATACTTACTTCAATGTTATTGTTGCCTAGACAATGACTTGATCGTGAATTGAGTCTTTAGGCAAGCTTGGAAACTTTTTGAGATCTGGGCTAAAGCTACCAACATAAAATAGCGTATGTCTAAGAGATGTTTGTGTGGTAACTAAATGTAGATTTGGGTGTTCTACTCTTTAGTACAAGACTGAGTATAAAGATAAAAAACAAAATTTGATGAAAAGCTAAGTGTGTTATCAAAAGAGTTAGCTGGGTATAAGTTATGCTAACAGATTTGAATTAAAAACTAGACACAAAACAGAGTTCGTAAATCACAACAAATATGGAGTTTAAGTTATGCAAAAATTGCAAACACAATACACCAAGATTTACATGGTTTGTCACCTGCCTATATCCTTACCTCCAGGAGAGCCTCCCGAGGATTCCCAAATCTCACTTCCATTTACGAGGTGTAGACATTCTCATTTGCCTTTACAAATTATCGGCTTAACCACTATAAGATTGTAATCTCCGACTCACATTCGGTAGGATGTGATGAGGCCGCTTGTGAACGCTAAAATAATGTAGTGAATGTGCGGTTCAAGAAAAACCTTTTGGGTCAAGTTTAAATTTATAAAAACCACTACCAACACTACTACTAATGTAGCAAGAGTGTGTAGGGATCGTCCTAAGGGATTATACGTGTTGGAAATTAACTTCGACTCTAGTGAATCACAAGATTGCAAAGGAGAGATTGATTGTTTGATTACTCTAGAAA